TAATCTACATTAAAAAATATATACCAAAAAAAAACATCGCCATCTAAAATACGAGTATAACCACATGTTTGTCAATTTTAAAGTCGTTTGTTTGCCAAAAACAATTGCGCCCCTCTTAATTTCACGAAAAAGGTTCAAAATAACGATATTAACAAGTTGTAAGTAATTTATAATTAAAAATATTATGTTAATCAAATAGTAATATAATAAATATTATTATAATACTAATTATGTATATTCAATTGATCTAATCATTATCATCAGTATACATGGTACGGTTTATTGGAAGTGAATTCTTTTTGTTACAATTTTAATTAATTTTTTAATTCTTTAGGATCAGATAATTTTTCTTGTGCAGTCAGCACTAATAATTTTATAAAGCTCGAGATAGTAATTATATTATCAGTAATTTAACTAAATTTCTTTGCGTAAGATACTTAACCAAGTTCCACACGTTTTTTTGTATTATTACAGTAAGCTTTTGAGGTTCATAACCATGAGGTCGACTATGTGAAATATTATGATAGTCCGTATTACCAGTCATAAGCATTACTGATTATATATGTATGCTGGTAATTATATTTTATAGCAGCGACTGAAAGAAACCTCGTTCCATCAATCAATCTCTGAATTGCTATGAGTTGTAGACTCAGGCAATCAACACCTAGGATTGGTCTGCTGACATCTTAATGATCTTAAGTCAACATCCAATTAAGTATAAAATGATGAGATCATAAGTATGTATCACAGTACTATTTGCAGCGGATAAACGCACAAGTCTAAACCTGTATCTACAAGGAATTGTATCTTGGCTATCCAGTAGGTAATGAAAAGGCGGCTCGACGATTTAGGGCAGTCGCTGACCGCTGGTTCCGACGACCGCCTAGTGCGATTTCCGACGACTCGAAATTACATGACTGCTTGCATTTCTTTGCTTGAGAACCAAAATGTAATAATAAAAGGAAGGTAGATGATCTATCGGAGGTTGATAAGGTCGTGAACTTGAGCGGCTATAAAAGCGATAATATCTACGATACCTTCCAGGTGGGCGAGAACGTTCCTTTTGATCTACCTTCGTTGACAAAATATCGATTTGTTTAGTGAGCTCGCTGATTTAATTAATTAATTCTTCATATGAAGGATTCATACGATTTAGTTAGGTCAATTTAAGAAGTTTGAGAGATTGATAGTCTGGATATCTTGAGGTGACCGACTTGACCATTAGGTAAGAAGGTAATCCATAGGTAATGATAGAACACCATGGTGCCGAGTATTTGGGTATTATATTTGAGGCCTTATCTAGTTGTATTGTTGAAAAAGATTAACAAGTTAGTCTCACTTCAAAAAAAAAAAATCCATAGATTTATGGTACTACTACAAAATCGATTAGTTTTTATCGCATTTTTAATCAATTTCAAAATCGAAAAGGAGGAGGTTATATGTTCGACGGCGATGTATGTTTTTTATGAATATTAACCGATATTTTCTCGAATTGTTGACCGATGTTCAAAACTCTTTTTTTATTCGATAGCTTAATGGAAAGAGGTGGTTTCATTTAAATTTTATCGAAACCAAATCAGTAATTTTACTTTTATACTAAAATAAATACACTTAACATACTTTCATAAAACAATATTTTTATGAAAGTAGGTATGTTCATTGATTTCTTCTTGCATTGTGAACCAATTTCTAGTTAACTAGTTGTTTCCCTTCGTAAATTTCGCGATTTCGTCTGCGTAAATTGTAGCCTATGTCCAACGCGTACTATGTAGCTTCTCGTAGATGAAAGACTTTTACAATTCGGTCCGATAGTATCGGAGCCTATCCAATGCAAACAAACAAGCAATAAAATCTTTCCTCTTTATAATATGTGTACAGAATTATTGGAAAAAATGATGTCGAGCTAATAAACAAAATGTCCTTTTCAAAGACTTTAACTATCTTAATAATTTTATTTACATAGGTATTTAATATTTTTTGTGTCACCTATTATATCAATAAACTAAAAAGCAGGAAGTAATAACTAAAAAAAATAGAACTGACTCGAGCCCTAAAAAAGTGATAAATAATAATTATCTCGAATAATTCTTAAGTATTTACTTAGTAGTAGAAGTAGGGCGCCTATAATTTAATTAATAACCTACAGAAAACTGCATGACGTAAGAGGTCAAGAGATATAAAATAATTTGTTAAAATAGAATTAAATTACTTAGTTAGTACTTAGTTAAGTTACGCCTTTTGTAGGTTTATGGAAACGGGTGTTAGTACCTCAATTGACTAAATAATAAATATTAGACAGCATCAAATTTATTTAACTTGGGTTTAGCAAACTCCGAACCCAAAGTAAAAAGCACCTGGATTAAGGAATTATCAAACAACGAAAGTGCCACAGCATCCAAACCCGAGACAATATGGAAAAGTGTATTTTCAACATTGACCTGACTCAATTTGCTAATATTTATGTCATTTTAATATAAGCTTTTTTAAAATAGTTCTTGTTACTTAATCTAAAACTAATAAAGCTATGTCGATTGATCATTTATAGTAACCCGGATCAATTATAGTAACCCGGATCAATTATAACCCACTTTTGTAGTTGGGTTGCAGTTCTTTTATATTATATTACCGACAAAGGAATGCACGTGTCATAATTCATAATTCAGAGATGCAACTGCTTGTAATTTCTTTTGTGATAGGTCGCGACACAAAAGAAAGAGCCATCAATATTACTATTACTGATCCCGGGCAGTGGCAGACTAAGAGGCGGAGGGGCGGTCCACCCCGGGCCTCCGGTCTTGGGGGCCTCCAAATGGCTGCAGCCATCCGCCAAATTCATAATAATTAAAGTTAAAAATGTATGATAAATTCAAATATAACGTAATATCAAGTTTCTGATTCGATTGGAAAAAGTCGAACCGGGCCTCTTGCTGCTCCGGGCCTCCGAAGGAGGTTAGTCCGCCACTGGTCCCGGGGTAGCGAGCGATCCTGTACGAACAGGTTTCATTTGGTTAAGTACGTAAACGTAAAGATAGTAAATGAAGGTAAATAATTGTGTGTAAACAAAAGAGATAGAATATATTTTGCTTGTTGCATCACTGTTTGATTGAAGGTGTGGGTCAAAAGATCGAGTCCTTTACAGATTCATGATTCTATCACTCGATTATAGGCTGTGTTATATTAAATCAGAACGATTCGTTCAATAGCCACCGACACACGCCTAAAAACTAACATCGTAAAATCGAATTTGTCATCATTAATTCATCAAGACGATATTGTACTAATAATATTAGGCGTTAGGTGAAAAATACAATTTTTGAAACGCCAATGAAGTGCTATTATTTCATTAATATTACTAGAATCGAGTCTCGGGATCTCAGATATGGCGACATTTTAATACCGGTTTGCATCAATATTAAGGAAAAAGTTATTGTACGAGTACAATTTAAAACCAGTATTAACTGTATATTACCCTATATCGTTTTTATTTAAGTAAAATTAATTATTACGAAACTTCTTCATAAATATAAATCAATGTTTTCTTTGTTTACATATAACAGATCCATTCAAATATTAAAAACTATGAATTTCCCAATACCAAATAGAATAATAAATCGAGTTAGTAGATTTCTTCGTATCTGTTTCTCTAGAGACGATTATATTTATCATCGCAATAAGAAATTTATACCTTCATACGTTTAGTTGATACCTTTGACTTTTTTTCCAACATTGAACGCCAGATCATATTATAGAATGTTGATTTTTATTTCATTAACAGTGAAATCTGCTTCTAAAGGTTTTAGCGCTGTGCTCAACGTAATAAATATTAAACATTCAACAACATCACATACATTGCTCGGATTCCAATATGAGTAGCTAAAGCCCCTGTATTTATATTTGAACAACTTTTGTTCAATTTTTGAAAACGTGAATGCCCGAAATGCGAAAGATTGCGGGTTCGAATCCCTACTCCGGGCTGGAGCATTTGTCTTTAAATTCTGTAAGAATTTAAAATTTGGTCTTATTTCTTTAAAATTTGATAGTAAAAAATCTTTACTGCAGTGATTTAAATAATATTTGTTTCGAAAAATTTACACGCATTACATTGCATTAAAAAAGTACATTTTCAATTGAACAATAAGTTTTGTATTTAATTGTTTTGTTTAAATACATGTGATCTTCTTTGTATTTCATACTCTATTCGAATCTCCTGACCTGGAAGTTATACGATATTAAAATTAGTTTTCGCTCGATCGCTAAATACGGTAGCATTAAACAAAGTACCTAAGCAAATATTTTAACATGTAAATGTCCATTTTGTTGCATGCACGTTCCGTCGTAAAATATATTCCATCATTTTGTAGCAGACAGTAGAACAGGTGTGGATAAAATACATTGTAACTGGTAGCATGAATAAGAAATTGTTGAAACCAATTGTAACTGAAACCAATTTTGTTACATTTTCCAAGATCATCTCTCTAAAAATCACCAAATGTATGTTGTAGGTACTAAGTAGTATTTGAAACTCCAGGCAGGTATGGATTAGTCATTGGACGAACGCAAAAGGCAGTATAAAAAGTTTATATTTTCATCCTTAAGGTTTTATTTGTGGTTACATGCGTAACCTTAAGGATGAAAATACACACTAAATGTGAAGTAAAATTCATTTATTTTTGTCTAACACATTTTGTTTTATTCATATTTCATATATCAAAAATAATTTTTGGTTTGGCTGTGATCAAGCTCTTTTAAGCCTTCGGAAGCACATAAATCCGTTGCTCTGTTTTGACGTTTAAGAACAGTTTGACTTTGACACAAATTTAATGGGACTCGTTGTGATCTGTCACATTTAATAGTATAAAGCTTCTGGCTTATATTTAGTGCAATGACTTGCTATTATTAGGGCTTTATTGCGTTTTAGTTAACACTTTTACAGCGTATTTCATGAACTTTATCGTGACATGTACGAATGTGTAGCTATAAATAAGTAATTTTAAACTGACCTGGCATTCGGCATCGCCCACGTAGCAACAGTCTCCAGAGACCGAGGTGGGCGACCAGAGGTGCTCACCACTAATAGCTGCGTCACCCCAGTCTGGAGTTGAACGAAGTACGCGTGCACCCGCATCACCAGGGCGTCTGTTAAAGAGGACAAAAATTTTATATTATTCATAAAAATAAAATGTAGCTAACTGCATGTCGAACCCACAGTTGCAAGCAAACATTAGCAAAAAATATTCTTATTTTTATAGTGTTTTCAAAATTCGATAAAAACATTTTTCACAAATAAAACCGACTTCTAACTTTAAATCAAATCAAATCATTTATTGGCCATATAACTCAGAAAGTTACACTCGGCAAGTCTTTTACAATAAACATTTCAAATTAAATACAAAGGTCTAAATCAAACAGGTCAAATCTTAAAAAAAGTGAAAACTAAAATGTATCTGAATAACGAGTTATTCAAGAAAATGCTATCGATGTTTAGATTTGAATTTCATAAAACATTGCATTTTTGAATAACTATATTTTGTAGTTTTATATATTAACAAATGTTTCTAATGGAATATACTTTATTCAGCTACAGCGAAAGTTTGCGTAAGGGAAATTAGGGAGACTTTACCAGCCGGAAGACATGCTTCACTACGGATCAATATGCTTTAAATTCGAGCATTCAATTAGGAAAGTATAAATTTTCAATTTATATAAAAAATAGCAAATTTTAGATTTATATTAAGTCAAATATTCGTGTTTCCCCAACGTCATGTATAGAAATCGAGAACGATTTTAGGTAAATGTCTGAGATAGCGTAGAAAAGTTAGTTATGCATATTGACTAAATGCTTCAGATGGCATCAGGAAATAGTCGAGCATGTTGCCCATGGAAGCTTGGAGTGAAAGAGCATCCTGTGGGCATACTGGATCCTGTTGAGTGGCGTTGTTAATTAAATATGGAGTATCTTTAACACAGGGAATCTTTCATATCGAGATCAAGTGGAATGCACTTAGGTACTAGATATTTTCGGGTTCCGCATAAACAGTAAATAATTAAATACTAATTTACGAATTGAAAATTACTATTTCATATATATATGATATTTGCAATTTAATTCTCCATCTTTTGAGTTACCAATGAACAAAATTCTATCATATAAATATTTTTCTATACTTATAAATTTTCCTTGGACTTGTATAAATATTTCTAGAGTTAAAACAATAAAATTGTCAAAATAATTTCATAACTATAAACGTATATATAGTATGGGTATATAGTTACATAAATAAATATATAATACATTTTGTTATTTTGCTCACATTATTTTTGATTAGGTGTCCTCTAAGGTCCAAGCTGAAGTGACAGGAAGCATCCTTAGAAAGTATGCCGTGGAGTTCCACCCTCTGTGTGGTGAAACTTTTAATACTTTGTGTGAGTTCGGTGTATTTTTGTCTCATTGCGCTTTAAGCATTTAATATTTCTTTGTTCTTTTTATACTTTAAAATACTTCTTTTAGTAGCTTTCATCAATAGCTTTATTGTATCACAATAAAAGTCTAGCTATTATAAGAATTATCACACAGGGTTTATTGGAATCATTATAGGTACTACGTGAGTTAATTCCTAAAGATATAATTAGTATTTTAAGAAAATGTTACCCGTGTCCTAAGTTACAATTTTTGATTCCGTTAAAATAATTGCTCATGGATAATAAAATTCAGAGCGATGTATCCAACGGCAATAAAATTAGCTATAATGGACATTTCTTTTTATGAAATCACGTGAGGGCTGCAATCTGGGAAATAAAGTTAAAATTACCCCATTAAAATTTGCATTTAAATGTATTCATTCTTATAACGTTGATTTAATATTACAGTTCAGTAAGTGCATACTAACGTTAATTGAAGTTTCGATGGCTTAATACTGTAGCAATATTTGTTTATATTTTATAAACTAGCTAACCCGGTGAACTTCGTATCACTTACCTCTTAATAAAAACCATATTAATATTGAAAAATATTGCGTAAACTGACCACTGCACGACCATAAATATTGCTCGTCAACTCAACGTTTGACAGCTAAGAACTGTTTGTATGGGAAATAAGGAAGTCGTTTATAGTATTATACTCGCAATTTTGTTATATTTTCTCATCGTTTAAACCTTCCCTGGACTTCCACGAATAGTTCTCGAGTTTTAGCGAGACTAACGAACGGAAATTCATTTTTATTTATATAGATAAATAGATAAATATCAGTATCAAGTTGTAAAGCAATCTTCGCAAGGGTCGGCCATAGGATGGGAGCCAAAAATTTATTATCTCATCTTAGGTGCTTCGGAAGGCATGTTAAGCCTTTGATTTCGGCTGCATCTGCAGTCCGCCAATCTGCACTAGACCCACATGATAGGTCATGGCCCGTTCTCTGTATTTGTTTCGGTTACATTCATAAGAACGGCTTTTGCTCGCGCAGTGAGGATATTAATAGGCTGATGACGAATAATAAAGTACAAAAAAAAAGAGATAATCAAGAAGTGATGGTGCAGTGGTTATGGTTTCCAGGGGTCGATTTGAAATGTCGGTTATTAGGTGGGAGTCTAAAATTTATCATCTTGAGGCTCGGAGAGCTTCATCTGCATTTATTAAGATCTACCAATATTTACGGTGTCGATCAAAATCATGCGTATGAAAAGATGCGTAGACGAACCTAAATAACCGATATAACCTGGAAAACGAAATGGCAACAGGCAGGGCATATAACTTATTTAACAGGTTTCCGAGGCCGTCGTATTGTCAATATCTTCCATCTTATTAAACAAAAAACTAATAAGTTTTTATATTGTATTTGTATAGGTTACTAGATTAATCCTTGACCAAAAAATCCAGGTCTGTTAAATTATTAAAACAAAACTTGTTATTAAATTTAATTGTAGGTGTATACAATAGTCCTTTTAGGGTTGCGTACCCTATCTAACACTTCGCTGTTTGTCAGACGGATAGCGTCTGTATCTCATGAACCATGAAAGTTAGGTAGTTAAAATTTTCACAGATAATATATTTCTGCTGCCACTTCAACAAAAAATACCAGTATAAAATAAATATTACAGGGGGCTCCCATATAACAAACGTGATTTTTTGCTCGCTTTAGGTCCTTTTTCTTCTTTTTAATTCATGAATGAAATGTTGCCCTTGTGGATTCCGCCGAATCCAGTGTTCGGAACCCTTCGTGCGCAAGTTTGACTTGGCCGGTTTTTAGTTATATTTTATGTCAAAGACTAACCGTAGAATGAGGTGGTCCGTGGTTTAAATTATTTCATTCTTTCATCGCAGGCTTCATTTCATGTGATCTCATTGGATTGTGTAGCTTGACATATATTTAGTTTACTGTGTTATCACTATTAAAAAATTAAATTATTTATATCTTAAAAAAATATTTCCATGTCAAAATTAACGTAACGTTACGACAAAGAGTAAAGTTTATGTTACAAAAACTCTATGCAAGAAATCCAGAGTTCTGTAAGAAGAACAAATAACTTATAATGCAACCTTCTTGAGCTGTACCATAGTGGTGAGACGCATGCGGTCTCTTCTTTCTAGTGCGGTCCAAGTCAAGTGCTATCTGCTATTCGCTGGGTGCCGGCGCCAACTAGCGGTTACAATTACATCGGACTTTAACATGTCAATTGGCTGGCTGTCAGTAGAGTTTAAACAATAATTTCAATAAAACATTTGTCATCATCATGTTAAAATGTTTATCTTTTTTATTTCCTGTCTAAAATGCAACAACCAGTCAATTTCATGGATAAATAAATTAAGAAATAGATTAATTTAATCGAATAACGCATTTCATAATATATAATTTATGACTTTAGTTTAGTTTAATATAAATGCTAACTTTTTGTGTATTTTCAGTAAAACATGAACAAATTAATTATAGAAACTGTATTCCGAACAATCACACAATACATCGCTTTCCAACTACAAACAAACAAAAAGTAAACAATTAGTTTTGGCTCAACATGTTGAAAATGTAAAGGGTTTAATGTGTTAAACATTCATAATTTATTTTGTGTTTACATCTTAATTTTTCAGTTATAGAGAATAAAACAATATTTGTTGCTATTTTTACTATTATTGTTGGGTTTAAATAAAAGTAAACTATATTAAGAAATTTTTATTTCAATTTTAGTCTTGGAATAATTATTAAAATCTAGATAACAATCCCAAAAAACGTACACGGACTTATTTTAATAAGAAACAAAGCTGGGTAAGCATATTTATGATTCAGGTATTATTTTTTTTAGTTGGGTAAGTGCTACCAGACTTTCGTTTTCATTTTTCAAGAATTAACATGCAGCTTGGTAATTGTATTTGTACTATTTGCATGTTTCTAAGAATTTTGAATTTTGAAACATACAGATGTGTAGTATGTACCCAGCAGCTCATCAGGTTACTAAAATATTACAGCACGTAATTAATTTTCATTTCTACTCATTGAGAGTAGTTTTGTATAGATTTGTATAGATTTTGTATAGATATGTTGTTGACTGTATTAAGACTATTTTTATTAAGATATATTTTGCGAACCGAAGACTTGAGTCTTACACCTTTTTATTTGCATTGCAGCTTGATTGCCAATTAATTTGAAACTTAACAATAAAGTAAGTATTTAACAAATATACATCTTAAGAAGTATTTCAAAAAGATACAAATGCATTTTAGGAAAAGATATTCAAATCCAAAATAGGTTTTTTACAAGTGTTTCAATTAAGATATCGCATGTGTAAGCTACACTACACCTACACCAATAATCGTATTGTCGCGGCTACCGAAAATAAGAACATTATGTTGTCTGTTTAGGATTTTCGTAAAACTGTGCGTCTCTATGTTAGCATGAATTGGTTAATTGGCTGTTCCTAGTTATCCTACTGTTTATGGTTATGCTGTGGTCTTAGACTCAAGTACTTACATATTTTAATCTTCTTCTGAGTTCTAAGGTATTTGTAAATAATTATATAGGTACATAATACAGAATAAGATATATTATATGCTATTTATTATAATGTAGAAAAATACTATATAAATCTGTACAACCATAGAGTAGCACATAGAGTTATATTACATAATTATAAACTTTTTATTGGATATT